CCTTCCCCCTCTTCCTCCTCTCCTCCCCCTGATTTCCTCCTCCTCCTCCTTCCCCTCCTCCTCTCCCTGCTCCTCTCCCTCCCTCTCTTCCTCCTCCTTCCCCTCCTCCTTCCCCTCCTCCTCTCCCTCCCCCTCTTCCTCCTCCTCCTCCTCCTCCTCCTCCTCCCCCTCCGCGGTTGAGTCACACCGCCGACTCTCACTACAAGTATAAAATTACCTGAATTCTATATCTTCCGAGGTTGCTGTTATAATTCCCGTCAGTCTCCCGGTGTCCTTTGATGGCCGCGTCTCCAGTTGTCGCAGGTGGGCTTTGCACTTGTTGCTCGTCTAGCATCTTCGTCTGCTTGCAACCATTCCTCTCGACATTAAAGCAGAGCATCTTTAAGCGCCGAGACTTAAACAATATCTTGTATACATGACAGAGAACCACGCGTTGCAAAGCCTAAGGAGTTCGGAGTCGATTTTAGAATTTGCTTTTGCACTCCTCTCCCTCTTCCGGTCATACCTGATAGCCATCAGTGGAGAGACCTGATTACAAATAAATAAAGGAATAAATAAATTTGCATATAGGTATAAGTGTGTGTGTGTGTGTGTGTGTGCTTGTGTGTGTATGTGTGTGTGTGTGTGTGTGTGTGTGTGTGTGTGTGTGTGTGTGTGTGTGTGTGTGTGTGTGTGTGTGTGTGTGTGTGTGTGTGTGTGTGTGTGTGTTTGTGTGTGTGTGTGTCTATATATACATACATATATACAGACCTGATTATAAATTTATAGAAAAAATGAATATATATATATGTGTGTGTGTGTGTTTGAGAGAGTGTATACGTGTGTAGATGTTTGTGTGCTTATGTATACAAACAGACAGACAGACAAAGGAGAGTTTCTCTCTTCTAAGTCGAACACAGAAGCTTTACATTCCTACAATGTTGTTCCCGCTTTGCACCAAAGGCCAGGGAGCATAACTAGCGACTACTTTGTTCCCTCGCGTTTATACAGAACATCGAAAACTTCGTTGAACGCTTCCCTGTTTTCCAAAAAGCTCTCACGTGAAAATTTAAAGAAATCTGATCTTGCTTCTGTCGTTACTTTTTTTTTTATTCGTTTATTTTCTTATTGTTATAATTTTTGTTTAAGATGAATTAAATGATAAGTGGATAACTCGAATTGCAGTGTCATCCCTTTTCGGTGAGAAAGAGAGAGAGAAGGCGAAAGAAAGAAAGAAAGAAAGAGAGAGAGAGAGAGAGAGAGAGAGAGAGAGAGAGAGAGAGAGAGAGAGAGAGAGAGAGAGAGAGAGAGAGAGAGAGAATAGATAGAGAGCCAGAGAGAGAGAGCGAGAGAGGGAGAATAGATAGAGAGAAAATGAATAGAGAGACAAAGAGAGAGAGAGAGACAGACAGACAGACAAACAGAGGCAGAAACAGAGAGAAAAGAAAGAAAGACAGAGAGAGAGAAAAAAAAAACAGAGAAAGAAAACAGACAAGCGATTTTGTCTCGCATGCGTCCTTAAAACAACCCCTCTCCCCTCCCTCTCTCCCCCCATTCTCCCTTCCCCCCTCCCCCGTGATACCCTCTCAACCCCTTCATCCACCTCCCCCCACCCCCCACCCCTCCCCCCACCTACTTAATCGGTGAGTCATCCATTAAAATCCTTTGTGTGACTTCACCTACCCGCCGCCTGTGCATGAGATGAGAAAAGGACGCAGTTGGTGAAGAGATCGAACATTCGGTCCACACGCGTAAAGGTGTGTACACATATGTATGTTTATGTATGTCTGTGTGATGGGGAGGCGGTGTGTGTGTGTGTGTGTGTGTGTGTGTGTGTGTGTGTGTGTGTGTGTGTGTGTGTGTGTGTGTGTGTGTGTGTGTGTTCGTGTGTGTGTGTATGTGTGTGTGTGTGGGTAAGCACAACCAGGAATACACCCAACACATATATTTCCAAACCTGCACAGAAGCAGGAGGAAAATGAGAGAATAAAAGAGAAGAGGTGCGAAAATAGGAAGAGAGGAGGAGGAAGATGAGCGTTAGAAGGGGGCGGCGAAGGGGGGAAGGGGAAAAGAGAAGGAAAGAGGAGGAAGGATGAAGAGTGGAAAGATAGGGTTAGATACGAACATAGATAGATAGTTGAATAGAAGGATGAAAGGGGGTTGTCGAGACGAGATGAGAGAGAAAGAGGAAGGGGGGAGAACCGAGAGTTGGGAGGTGAGGAGTCGAGGGAGGGGGGAGCAAGGAGATGGGGGGGGCCTGGAGGTGGCGGGGGGGGGAGTTAGGGAGGGAGAGAGGAGGGGGTAAGGGGGAATGCTCTGGGGGGGGAGCGTACGAGTAAGAGTGAAGGATGGAGTGGGGGAGTGTGATGCGCGGGATGGTTGTCGATGAGAGAGAATGCAACTAGAAGGAGAGGAGGGAGACGGCGGGGTAAGGGAGAGGAGATGAGAGAAGAAAGGGGGCGGGGGGGAAGAAGACAGAAGGAAAGAGAGGAGAAAGGGCGAAAGGAGAGAGAGAGCCCAGGGATGAGGTGAGAGAAGAGACGATGACAAGAGAGAGAGAGAGAGAGAGAGAGAGAGAGAGACAGAGACAGAGACAGAGAGAGAGACAGAGACAGAGAGAGAGATAGATAGAGAGAGAGAGAGAGAGAGAGAGAGAGAGAGAGAGAGAGAGAGAGAGAGAGAGAGAAAGAGAGAGAAAGGGGAGCAGAAAGAGAGCTGTGGAGGGAGGAGGAAGCGGGGGCGGCCTGGAGGGGGGAGGAGGAGGAGAGGCAGGAGGTCTGTGCATGTCTTATGGCTGTCTCACTCTCTCCTATATTTCCTTTCCCCTCTTTCTCGCCTCCTCGCTTCTCTTCCCCTTTCTAGCTCTTGTCGGGGATTCTACAGGAGGCCAGGTCACTCCAGCGAGGAGCCAGGTCAGAACACAGGGTCACCGGAGGTCACAGCACGAGGTTAAGTCACTGCTCGAGGCAAAGGAGGCAACATCAGCTGGGTTGCAGCCTCAACTCCTGGTTCAAGATTCTGTCGGGGAAAAAAACAACTTGTAGGCAAGCGAGCGCGCATTGATCTGACACACTCCCTCTCTCTCTCTCTCTTCTTCTCTCTTATTTTCTTACTCCTCTCTTCCTCTTCTTCCTCCTCCACCTACTATTCCTCTCTCTCTCTCTCTCTCTCTCTCTCTCTCTCTCTCTCTCTCTCTCTCTCTCTCTCTCTCTCTCTCTCTCTCTCTCTCTCTCTCTATGTCTCTATGTCTCTAACTCTCTCCCTCTTCTTCTCCTCCTCTTCCTCCTCTTTATCTTCATCTCGCTCTTACCCATTCCTTCTCATTTCTCTCTCTCTCTCTCTCTCTCTCTCTCTCTCTCTCTCTCTCTCTCTCTCTCTATCTATCTATCTATCTATCTATCTCTATCTATCTCTCTCTCTCTCTCTCTCTCTCTCTCTCTCTCTCTTTTTTT